TTTTTATTGCTCAAATGTGTTCTAAATATGTTTTACTTTCCATTTTTATAAAAATTCACATATTGTCAAAAAACTCGGTATTATAATCAAAAACTCAAGAGTTTCTCTTCAGATCCTTTTGTAGACTAAATAAAGCTTCAAATTCAACCCCACTTTCATATTGAGTTTTTGTTTATAAAATACTTTAATAACTGTTTAAAACTTTTAATGATTGTTTGTCATTCATTATTCATTAGTCACAATAGTATTTAGTTGTGTTTTTAATTGTTATTCAAACACTTGTTCGGGCTGTGAAAGAATTTTTTAATTATCTCATATAGTTTTCGAGATATTCACATCCGTAGTTTGATGATGAAATATGATCTTGTTCAAAAATGTTTAGAATTTAGAAATTAATTTTCCCACATTTTGTTATTGAATGACTAACAGGATGTTATTTCTCATATAGTTTTCGAGATATTCACATCCGTAGTTTGATGATGAAATATGATCTTGTTCAAAAATGTTTAGAATTTAGAAATTAATTTTCCCACATTTTGTTATTGAATGACTAACAGGATGTTATGCAAACATCTATGTTTGAATTCTTTGATATCACTTTCAACCCAAGACAAGTCCTTAATCTAGGTGTATTCTTAATATCAACGATGTTTACTGAAACTACATTAAAATCATATCTAAAATTTAAAAAAACAGAATAAACCGTGTATACCAGGTGAAAATAATTAATTTAACTTAGTAGACCTTGACAGAATAATTGTTTATAACTTTATGGCATTTATTAGATATAATGAAATTTACAACAAATTCAATGAAGTGTTGCAAAACGGATATATTTCTCTCATAAGCGGTCCGTAGTATTGAATATAAGAGCCGTAGTGTTTGGCGCTATATTTGAGTTCAATATGACTGCTAAGCTGTAAATGCAATAAACTATCCATAAGTGATGTTAATTTCGATCGCGATTCACATTCCGACCCATATTTCAATAGTAGATATCTTTGCAGTAAATATATATACAGTTGTTGTTCGAGTCTAATATAAAATACAATTGAGAAATTACCATCAGTGTATTTTATGATAAATATTAACAACACATGTTATATTTAAACACATTCTTTACCTAATGTTAACTCTATGAGTGAGTTCTGGTCGGTTTGGGTCAAAAACCATAATCGCTGTCAACTATATGTGATATATTGATTAGTATTAAATACAATATGTAATAGTCATTGATTTTAAATTACCAAATATATGATTGTCGGGTCATCAAACTCCCAATTGACCATCATTTTATCAACATGTTTAATCACCATATCCTTAAACTCCTGATCGTCATACATAAAAATATCTACTTTTACTACAGCCGACATGTCATCGCAATCCTGGAATATAATTATATCATGTATATTAATAGTCAATTTAAACATAATGCAATATAAATAAACTAAACTATACCACTGACCAAGGGCATTAGAAAATAATTGCTACGTCTGTCATAGTATTTGAAATACAATACTGAAGTCAATTCATTGAAACCATGTTTAAGTAGCGCCAACTGGTCCTCAGGACACAGACTTTTGTATGAATGCAAACGCTTCAGAAATCTGGTCACGTCTTTGACAAAGAGCTCGTTTTTGTTGACCGACTTACGCAGCAATTCCTCTAAACTCGTGATTTGAACCAAACATTTAGGCAATGGATAGTCAAACACATTGAACGCCGCCTTCAGCTCCGATATGCGACACATTTCCAGTTCATTCAACCCGTTATAATCAGTGAGCGATTTAAATATTGGAATAATTGATATATTATGTGTTTTATAATCATTATGGCCAATCACTGAATCTGATTTAGCTAGGACATTATTTTGTAATTGTGTAATCTGTTTGTCAAACTCATCGTGATCAAAATCTATATAATTATTGCCCAATACTTCGCACATTAAAAACTCATCGATTGTTGGATCTGTTGATGGATTAGATGTCGAAGAAATACGGTATTCATTGAACGCATGTCTTCTTACTTTGTTATCGGTAATCAATTGTCTTCTCAACTGATTCTCTGATTTATTTCTTATAAATTCCTGAAAATAATAAAATTTTTACAATTTTATTAACAATAAACTAATTGTCAATTTATATTAACATTACTTTTTTCATTCCCATTGCGTAACACTTTTTAAGTCTGCATTGTTTGCACATATTTCTCGTCAATGTATTTATATAACAATTGCCATTTGAAGGGCATATCAATTGCTAATAGTAAATAATACAGTTAAAATTACCATGCATAGTGTAATATTAATGTTAAGTCTGCATTGTTTGCACATATTTCTCGTCAATGTATTTATATAACAATTGCCATTTGAAGGGCATATCAATTGCTAATAGTAAATAATACAGAATTTTAATGGTACGTATCACATTATAATTACCGGTTGTTACTGGTACCAGTTTACTAGCGTAACATGAAATGGAGTTAGACAAACGGCATAGAGGATTTCTTACGAAATGTTGAGAGTGTACTATAGACACCAAAATTTCTGCCTAAATACACAAAATTATTGATTAGTTTTATAAAAATTAATTAATTGAAAACAATAATTGTATTACCGCATGCATTATCGCCACAAATTTCACATTGTTTATTCATGTTTAAATATCATTTATATTAAACTTGAATTAATAATATTAAAATTTTGATTTATTAAAAAATGTAAACTATTTTCTCAAATATAAATCATAATAAAATGAATGTTACATAAATTATGAGCACACTTAACACAGTATGTGTAAAGTTGAGGTTTTATCTAGAATTTTCACGATAAAAAGTTATCGACATGTTTTTACATGTACAATAAATTGATGTAAAAGTATTATTACATACATTCAAATACAGTTAATAAAATATTTAAAGTATTATTTAATTGTTTGTTTAGCGGGAATTAATTTAACAACATCACACAATGCAATATAGCATAATTTAAATAGACTGCATTTGTTAAGAGTATTTTGTCCTTGATTTTAACCAGATTTTATAAAGAATATATTACATAATATCTATTTATCCATTGTTAAATAAGTTAACTTAAATTCAATCAATGGCCTTAATATGAATAAATACTATATATTATGTTAATAACTGATTAGCGTGTACATCTCATTATCATTTTAATTAATACGAATGTAAAAAATGTACCCTGATTTTATGATACACTATATATAATAATTGATTGTCATAATAATTCTCCATTCATTTAATAACCAATTTTATAAATACCATTATTTGCTAAAAATATTCTAAATAATAACCAAAATGATTTATTTAAAATATGCATTTTATATTTTATTGGTGGTGGTATTATGCGAATGTAAACCTGCTAGAAAGAAGTACAAAGTGACCGCGGTGATAAGTCCACCATTTGTGATGGAAGTATCCGACAATCATACGGTTGGAAACGATAGATATTACGGCTTTTCAATTGATTTGCTCAATGAAATTCTCAACCATACAGACCCAGACATGCAATTTGATTATGAAATCTATACAAAACCGGACGGTATGTACGGCACACCCGACTCGAGCACCGGTAAACCCAATGGCATGATTGGCGAGTTGTATAACAAAAAGGCTGACATAGCGATCGGCGCTCTGACGGTCACAGACTATGGCAAACAATACATTGATTTCAGCGTTGGGTTTACAAATATATCGATGTCGGCGCTCATCGCCAAGAATAGCACCCGTAATATGACATCGTTTGAAGACCTGTTGAAAAACACTGACTTCACATACGGTGTGCTCGAAGGCAGTTATATTCATAGGTTTATGAACGCGTCGGACAATCCGACTATTAAAGCCATGTATAAACATATGGTAAAGTATAACAGTTTGGTTCACTCGTATTTCTCGGGCGTTGAAAAGACCCTACGGGGTAATTATGCGCTGATAGACGAAGTGCCACTCAATGGGTATATTGCTGGACACAATTGCGATCTGACCGTCATTGGTGGGCACCGGAAGTACTATCCGCGTGAGTACGCCATTGGTGTACAACAGGGGTCGCCCCTTAAGGACTACATAAGTGCGGCGATACTGAAGCTAAAAAATCAACGCCGACTTTCCAGTTTGGTCCACAAGTGGAAACGTGGTACTGGCAAATGTTAACATTGTAATTTTGCAATGTATAATTATGCCAATTAATATTAGATTTATATATGTAATTAAAAATATATTCAATAAAATATAATTAAAATAAATTATAATTTTAGTTTTACTTTATTTTACTTTATTATTCGTTACCAAAAAATGTAATATTAAATTGTTACATCTATTTATTACTATAAAAGCTACTACAATCTTTATTTTAATTATAGCCAGCTTGTAGCCAAGTTAGATTAATTAATTGTCAGTTGATTTATTTTTAAGTAACATGTTATGTAATTAAAAGTGTGTAATGTTAAGCATTAATCACTAGTATCATATAAAAATGATAATTGTCATCCTTATGCATTTAAATTTACTATACAATATACAAATTATAAATTACATAAAATTATCCTTTGTAAATTTTTAAATATTTATACAGGCAATTAAATTATACAACAATGACATTTTTTTATTCAACAGGCTCTACAGGCTTCTGTAAATCCGTCTAATATAATATGTATGTAAATAAATAGTCAACATGATTGAATATTTTGTTATTACTGATTGAATACACAATTATTTCAAATGATACAAGCAATATTATTTTATTATATTGTAATTAAATAATTAAAATTAATTTAACAATAATATCCTAAAACAATAATTTGATACATTTAGACAGATTTGATAAAAACATATTTATTTATCGATTGTTAAATTACCTTAATTAATTTTATAATGTGAATAATTAATATTTTTTAATGCAAATTACTATTTAGCATGTATAATTCAACATTAATTAAATGACTAAAAATTACATAAATAAGAAAACATTAGTTGTATAATAAGGCATTTAAATGTATCCAGATTTAACATTTTAAATAGAAACATTTTAAATAATAATTGAAATGATATATTTAAAATATACATTTTATATGTTATTGGTCGTTGTATTATGCAAATGTGGACAACCAATAAAGAAATATACAGTGACCATGGTGATATGTCCACCATTTGTGATGGAAGTATCCGACAATCATACAATTGGAAGCGCTAGATATTATGGCTTTTCAATTGATTTGCTCAATGAAATTCTTAGTCATACGGAACCTGACCAGCGATTTGATTATGAAATGTATACAACACCGGACGGTATGTACGGCACACCCGACTCGAGCACTAGTAAACCCGTGGGAATGATAGGCGAGTTGTATAAGAAAAAGGCTGACATAGCGATCGGCGCTCTGACGGTCACAGACTATGGCAAACAATTCATTGATTTCAGTACAGGTTTTATGAATATCTCGATGTCGGCGCTCATCGCCAGGAATAGCACCCGTAATATGACATCGTTTGAAGACCTGTTGAAAAACACTGACTTCACGTACGGTGTGCTCGAAGGCAGTTATATCCATAGGTTTATGAACGCGTCGGACAATCCGACCATTAAAGCCATGTATAAACATATGGTAAAGCATAACAGTTTGGTTCCCTCGTATTTATCGGGCGTTGCAAAGAGCCGTCGGGGTAATTATGCGCTGTTTGCTGAATCAACTCTCATTGAATACACTGCGCGACACAATCGCAATCTGACTTTCATCGATGGTCACCGTAAGTACTATCCGCGTGAGTACGCCATTGGTGTGCAACAAATGTCGCCCCTTAAAGACATTATAAGTTCGGCAATATTGAAGCTGAAAAATCAACGTAGAATCGCCAGCTTGGTTGAACGTTGGACACACCGGTATATTTAATGTAGTGAACTGTTTTGA